GGGAGTCTGAGGCAGGAGAATCACTGGAACCTAGGAGGCGGAGGTTGCAGTGAGCTGAGATCGAGATCGAGCCACTGCATCCCAGCCTGGGACAGAGCAAGACTCCATCTCAGAAAAAAAAAGAGTACTCTTTTTTTGTCCATTGTTTGAGAGAGAGACCTTCTGTGGTTAGTAACTTTTGGGTTAGACTGCTACATGGTAAATGTCATTTGAGGTCTATGAACCCCTTTATAGACACACTAACACAGTTCTCTTGTACGTAACAGTATTTACTATTTGTATTGTTCTTTGAGGCTTCAAAATGAAAATGTTAAATGTTTTTCCTACTATGAATAGGTCTTAGTTGTAAAATGAGGAGGAGATTGACTAATACAACTTTTTAATGGCTCTCTCAGCTTGAGCACCAAAATTCTGTGATTCTGTAATAGTTTCAGAATAGAGATATGATTAAATACTAAGAATTTCGCCTAATGGAGTTAGAGAATGGGATAGATGGTCTCTCTCTATCCCTTACCCTCCTTCACCCTGCAAAAAAAGAGAATTTGTGCCCATTTGACTGAGAAGTGATTTCTAGTATTCCAATTTATGTATAAGATGTATTTAAGTTTAAAATCTCTTTTATTAATAGATCATAAAAGACAGTGTCTTTTGCAGACATTGTTATTCCTAGTTCATTAATCAGATTAGAGGATCTTAAATTATTTATTTTAATTGACCAGTAAAAATTGTCTGTATGGTGTATAGCCTGTTTCAGTATATATGTCAATACAGTATATATATGAACTGTGGAATGGCTAAGTCAAATTGTGATTCTTATGGATGAATTCTAAGCTGGTCACTAATAATGTTATTTATAACTGTTACAATCGTTTCTGTATGAATATCAAAAAGTTTCTCACTAAGATTTTTGTACTTTTAATGCTCATTAAGAAAATATATTTTAGAAAGCTCTCATGAACTCAGTAATACTTTGCAGTGAATATGCATTTCATTAATTAATGGCATTTTTACACTTTTGAGTATTACTGATGGGGCTTGGTGTGTAACTAATGGACTGGTGGATCCCGTGGCCTGCAAGGGCTCTGTGGGCTGTGGTTTTGGAACTCACTGGTTTAAAACAATGTACTTCTGTTTCTAATGTAAATAAGTCATTTCCCATATTTATTTTAAAAAGATGACACTTTTTTTTTATTTTGTTTTTCATCAAAAGGTGACACATTTTAATAGTCTCCAGAGTGCTGTTAATCTGGGTCAAGATTTTATCTGTAGCCAGTGGGCCAAGGCCCCCTGTGTTTTTTTTTTTCTTTCTTTTTTTTTTTTTTTAAGACAGAGTCTCACTCTGTCACCCAGACTGGAGTACAGTGGTATGATTTCAGCTCACCGCAACCTCCGTCTCCCAGGTTAAAGAGATTCTTGTGCCTCAGTCTCCTGAGTAGCTGGGATTTCAGGTGCACACTATCATGCCTGGCTAATTTTTGTATTTCTAGTAGAGATGAGGTTTCACCATGTTGGCCAGGCTGGTCTTAAACTCTTGACCTCGTGATCCACCCATCTCAGCCTCCCAGAGTGCTGGGATTAAAGGTATGGGCCACCGTGCCTGGCCTGTGTTGGTCTTAATGAAGTATTTTATGGATTGAAAATGTCTTATTTAGAGCACTAAGTACTTATTCGTTTTATGCACTATGATAATTTGTAGAAGTATGGTCAAATCCGTCTGTATTAGAAAAATTAATTTTGTCTTTTTTTAAAGCATAAGTTATCAGGCAAACAACTTTATTTTAAATCTATATTGGGACATTTCTCCTTTTTTTAATCTGTCATTCAGTTCCTTGATGTTATTTCTGTCTTGCTAATACTTTATCCGCCCACCAGTTTTAATCTCAATCTGGCGTTTATTCTGAAAAAAATAATGAAGCATCGGAGTTTACCAACATCAACTTTAGTATTCTTTGGAAAGAGAACTCATGGACTTTGGGAGTTTCAACTATCTAGTTCCTAATCTTGTACCACTCCCTGCGTGAGTGAACTTGGGTAGATAATTTAAGTTTTCTGAGCCTCAGTTTCAGCTCCAAAATTATATTACCTGTGTCTCTCAGGGTTGTTTTGGCCTTAAATATGGTCATGTTTATGAAGAGCTTAACACTGTGTTGAACTTGTTTCCTTCCTTCCTCCCCCCCTGCCCAAAATGTTTTAATTCCTTAGCTTACTTTTCTTTTTTTCTGGAAAATTCTGGAGAAATCTCCTTTGAGAGGGTCAGCCGGGTGGGTTGCCTGAGCTCAGGAGTTCGAGACCAGCCTGGGCAACACAGTGAAACCCTGTCTCTACTAAAATACAAAAAACTAGCCAGGCGTGGGGGCATGCGCCTGTAGTCCCAGCTACTTGGGAGAATGAGGCAGGAGAATTGGTTGAACCTGGGAGGCGGAGGTTGCAGTGAGCTAGATTGCGCCACTGTACTTCTGCCTGGGCGACAGAATGAGACTGTCTCCAGAAAAACAAAACAAAACAAATCTTTGGGATATCTGTTCTTCCTCCCACCCTTCTACACGGTGGTATTCCTTAGGTTTCCTTCTGGATATCTGGTTCCCACCTTAAACTCACGCATTTTTCCGTTAGAATATCTATCCAAATGCTACACAAACGTAGATGACATAGACACAGTAGAGAATTTCTTTGTTAAATCTTTTCATCTGAACTAGTTCTTACATGCTAGAGGTCATGCTCAGGCGGGGTGCAGTGGCTCATGCCTGTAACACCAGCACTTTGGGAAGTCGAGGTGGGTGGATCACTTGAGGTCAGCAGTTGGAGACCCGGGTGGGCCAATGTGGTGAAACTCCATTTTCTACTAAAAAATACGAAAATTAGCTAGGCATGGTGGTGGGTGCCTGTAATGCCAGCTACTTGGAAGGCTGAGGCAGGAGAATCAGCCTAGGAGGCGGAGGTTACAGTGAGCTGAGACCGCACCATTGCACTCCACAAGAGTGAAACTTAGTCTCAAAAAAAAAAAAAAAAAAAAAAAAAAAAAAAAAAAAAAAAAAGGTCATGCTGATTATGCCCTTGGCTAATGCCATTTTGTAGGATATCATGAAACACTGACATTTAATTTTATCACAGCCTGAGAACAAATGGACTAGCTGAAAATTAGTATATTTATGTAACGTGAAATTAGTTTTCTGAGAAGAGTACAGATTTTTCCTAAGTATGTTTGTATATGTAAATTGGTTATTTCAGAGAAATTAATGAGAAAAGTTAAAATTGAGAAAGCTCTTTTCTCCCCTGTAAAATGGGTGAAAATCCATGGTAGCAGAATATTTTAGTCTGACCCCTGAGATTGTAGTTGGAAAAACCCCAAACTAAAATCTATTGCTTTAAATTGATTTTAGACCACCCCCCTCCCCACTCCATAAAACACATCCTTCAGGTCTCCTGGATTCAGCATTTATTTTTTATTTTCTCTTGGCTTAACTCTAACCATTCATCAGCTCATACTTTTTCTCTGGTGTCCTTCATATTCTTACTTCCATTCTGAGTTTTTATTTAAGCTAAGTCTGATGGATTCTGCTCCCTAAATATCTTGGATTCCATTTCCCCTTCTTTCTGCTGCATACAGTTATAATACAGCTCTCTCATGGTCTGTTGTGGCAGTTTCCCAAGACGTCTTTCTGCTTCTGGTCTTATTCTGTGTCTCCTCTTAGTGTTTGTTTTTATATTGCTATTGAATAATAAACTTTTTTTCTTTCTTTACTGAGGTGGGGGTCTTAACTCTGTAGCCCAGGCTGGCGTGCAGTGGTGATCACAACACCCTGCAGTCTCCAACTCCTGGGCTCAAGCAATCCTCCCGAGTAGCTGGGACTACAGGCATGCACCCCTACACTTGGCTAATTTTATTTTTTTTCTTTCTCCTTTTTTTTTTCTTCTGAGACAGGGTCTTGCTTTGTTGCCCAGGCCGGAGAGCAGTGGCACGATCTCAGCTCACTGCAGCCTCTGCCTATCAGGTTCAAGTGATTCTCCTGCCCAGCCTCCCAAGTATCTGGGACTACAGGTGCATGCCACCATACCCGGTTAATCACACTTGGCTAATTTAAAAAATTTTTTTGTAGATATGGGGTCTCCCTATGCTGCCAAGGCAGGTCTTGAACTCCTGGCCTCAAGCTAACCTCCTGCTAACCTTCATTTTGGTACTAGGATTACAGACTTGAGCCACAGTGCCCAGACAAGTAATCTTTCTAAATCATAAATCTGTGTCAAGTAGTCCTCCATTGGAAGTGGAGTAATCCCTATTTCCCACAGGAGCAAGTGAACTTTCTAGCATGTTATACAAGGCTACAGGTGATAGCTTCATCTCTTGTCATTTCCTGCCTGAGTCCCATACGTCTGTTCTGAGCTTCCATATTCATGTTGAATTAACTCCAGCCAGAGGTTTTTTGTTTTTTTTTTTTTGTTGTTTGTTTGTTTGTTTGTTTTTTGAGTCGGAGTTTCGCTCTTGTTGCCCAGGCTGGAGTGCAATGGTGCAATCTCGGCTCACCGCAACCTCCGCCTCCTAGGTTCAGGCAAGTCTCCTGCCTCAGCCTCCTGAGTAGCTGGGATTACAGGCACACGCCACCATGCCCAGCTAATGTTTTGTATTTTTAGTAGAGACAGGGTTTCACCATTTTGACCAGGATGGTCTCGATCTCTTGACCTCGTGATCCACCCGCCTCGGCCTCCCAGAGTGCTGGGATTACAGGCGTGAGCCACTGCGCCCGGCTTGTTTTGTTTTTTGAGATGAAGTCTTGCTCTGTTGCCCAGGCTGGAGTACAGTGGTGCAATCTCAGCTTACTGCAACCTCTGCCTTCCAGGATCCTCCCGCCTCAGCCTCCGGAGAAGCTGGGATTGCAGGCATCCGCCACTATGTGTGGCTAATTTTTGTATTTTTAGTAGAAGCGAGGTTTTTCCATTTTGGCCAGGCTGGTCTTGAACTCGTGACCTCAGGTGATCCACCTGCCTCAGCCTCCCAGTGTGCTGGGATTACAGATGTGAACCACTGCACCTGGCCTCAAGCCATAGTTCTTAAAACGTGTCAAATTCTTTGACGTCTCCATGTTTTGAATGCGTAGTCCAGAGGATCCTTGTCCACCTGATGATTACTTCACTGAGGCTTTGCTGCTTTGTAATCTTCATAACATCTCTGCTTCCACAAAGTTCAGTATTTCCTTCTCTGTTCACATAGCCTTTTGTAGACATATGCTTGTCCTGTGATATATGTACTTCTCTATCCTTTCTGTTTTAGAGTGAGCTTGGGATCCAAGACTTTTGTCCTCTTTGCCTGACACATGGCAGGTTCTTCATAAATACTGAATGAATAGGTCTGGTAGAGATTGTTGGATTGTTTAGAGGGGAGTTAATATTTGTTACTTTTCACTTTTTATGTTAATATTTAATATTTCATTCTAAAGATGGTGGAACCAGGGCAAGATTTACTGCTTGCTGCTTTGAGTGAGAGTGGAATTAGTCCGAATGACCTCTTTGATATTGATGGTGGAGATGCAGGGCTCGCAACTCCAACGCCAACCCCTTCAGTTCAGCAGGTAAGTTTTCCAAAGCCTCTCTTTCTTAATTTGTGATTTCCACTGACAGTATTTTTTAAGATAGAGTCTCACTCTGTTGCCCAGGCTGGAGTGCAGTGGCACAATCATGGTTCCCTGAAGCCTTGACCTCTGAGGCTCAACCAGTCTTCCTGCCTCAGCTCCCCAAGTAGCTGAAACTAAAGGCACGTACCACCACGCCCAGCTAAGTTTTGTAGTTTTTGTAGAGATGGGGTTTTGTCATGTTGCCCAGGCTGGTCTTGAACTCTTGAGCTCAAGCGATTGCTTGCCTCAGCCTTCCAAAGTGTTGGGATTATAGGTGTGAGCCTAACTTGGCACAATTTTAAATGTACATGTGAAGCCTTAATTTTAAATATATGTGTGAATGTTATTTTTTTTTATTTTTATTTTTTTTCTTGCTACGTGAATATTATTTTTACGTTGAGTATTCGTTTTGACTTATGGGACAGAAAATAATAAAACCAAGACATTATTTTCTGCTTTGTTATTACTATATATGTACAGATAGTGTAAGAGATGTTTAGTGTTCTTGTGGGAGCATCTTTAATTTCCTTAATAGTTGTCTATTTAGGGATATTCTTCTGTGATTTCGCTGTATATATTCTCTGAAAGCAAAAATGTAAGATTCTAGCTGGGCACAGTGTCTCCTGCCCGTAATCCCAGCATGTTAGGGAGGCTGAGGCTGAAGGATTGCTTGAGCCCAGGAGTTAGAGACCAGCCTGGACAATGTAGCGAGCCCTTGTCTCTACACAAAGTTAAATTAGCTGGCCATGGTTGTGTGCACCTGATGTCCCAGCTACCCAGGAGGCTGAGGTGGGAGCATTGCTTGAGCCCAGGAGTTGGAGGCTGTTGTGAGTTATCGTGCCACTGCACTCCAGCCTGGGTGACAGAGCAAGACCTTGTTTCTGAAAAATAATAGACTGGGCCGGGCGTGGTGGCTCAAGCCTGTAATCCCAGCACTTTGGGAGGCCGAGGCGGGTGAATCACGAGGTCAAGAGATCGAGACCATCCTGGTCAACACGGTGAAACCCCGTCTCTACTAAAACTATAAAAAATTAGCTGGGCATGGTGGTGCGTGCCTGTAATCCCAGCTACTCAGGAGGTTGAGGCAGGAGAATTGCCTGAACCCGGGAGGCGGAGGTTGCGGTGAGCCGAGATCGCGCCATTGTACTCCAGCCTGGGTAACAAGAGCGAAACTCCGTCTCAAAAAAAAAAAAAAAAAAGAATTGTTAGTGTCGGGCGCAGTGGCTCACGCCTGTAATCCCAGCACTTTGGGAGGCCGAGGCGGGGGGATCACGAGGTCAAGAGATCGAGACCATCCTGGTCAACATAGTGAAACCCCATCTCTACTAAAACTACAAAAAATCAGCTGGGCATGGTCGTGCGTGCCTGTAATCCCAGCTACTCAGGAGGCTGAGGCAGGAGAATTGCCTGAACCCAGGAGGCGGAGGTTGCGGTGAGCCGAGATCACGCCATTGCACTCCAGCCTGGGTAACAAGAGCGAAACTCTGTCTCAAAAAAAAAAAAAAAAAAAAAAAGAATTGTTAGTACAGTTTTGTGGAATTCTTGTGCTTGCAAAGACTGTTATATCTGCTGTTAGTGATTTCACATCACTTTAAATGTTAAGCTTGATATTTTTTAATAAATCCAATTCTTGTTCTTGAAACAGACTTTACTGCTGTCCTTTGTTTCTTTCTCTGATGTTGTTTTCTCTCCAGTCAGTGCCACTTAGTGCATTAGAACTAGGTTTGGAAACCGAAGCAGCAGTTCCTGTAAAACAAGAACCAGAGACTGTACCTACTCCAGCACTGTTAAATGTGAGGGTAAGAATTATTTAGATTTGGTCTTGTAAAATAGTTTAGAACTGTAGTGAGAAAATAACCTGGACAGGTGTGGTTCACACCTGTAATCTTTGCACTTTGAGAGGCTTGGAGCAGGAGGACTGCTTGAGCCAAGGAATTCAAGACCAGCTTGAGCAAAATGGCAAGACCCTATCTCTACAAAAGAAGAGGAAATAGGCTGGGCATGGTGGCTCATGCCTATAATCCCGCCACTTTGGGAGGCCAAGGTAGGTGAATCACTTGAGGTCAGGAGTTCAAGACCATCCTGGCCAACATGGTGAAACCCCATGTGTCGCTCCTAAAAATACATATAGGTGCATGCCTATACTCCCAGCTACTTGGGAGTCTGAAGCAGGAGAATCTCTTGAACTCAGGAAGTAGAGGTCTCAGTGAGCCGAAATCATGCCACTGCACTCCAGCCTGGGCGACAGGGTGAGACTTTGTCTCAAAAAATGAAAATTAAAAAAAAGAAGAAGAAATGGATAATTAAACAATGATTAAAAATTTCAAAAAAGAACCATTTAGTGTGAAATCGTTTTCTCTAGTTCTGCTTTTTGCCACTTTCCCAGTATTCTACCCTTACCTCCTCCTACTTTGTAACACATTTGTTTCATTCTTTTGGTACTTGTGCTGACCAAAAGATAACACAAACAAAGCAAAACCTATTTTGTTTATTGCAAATGATATAAAATTCATGAAATAAAGATGAAATGCACATTCCTATTTTCATTTTTTTAAATTTTATTTATTTATTTATTTATTTATTTTTTGAGACGGAGTTTCGCTCTTGTTACCCAGGCTGGAGTGCAATGGCGCGACCTCGGCTCACCGCAACCTCCGCCTCCTGGGTTCAGGCAATTCTCCTGCCTCAGCCTCCTGAGCAGCTGGGACTACAGGCACGTGCCACCATGCCCAGCTAATTTTTTGTATTTTTAGTAGAGATGGGGCTTCACCATGTTGACCAGGATGGTCTTGATCTCTTGACCTCGTGATCCACCCGCCTCAGCCTCCCAAAGTGCTGGGATTACAGGCTTAAGCCACCGCGCCCGGCCTATTTATTTATTTTTGAGACGGAGTCTCACTCTGTAGCTCAGGCTGGAGTGCAGTGGCGCAATCTCAGCTCACTGCAACCTCTACCTCCTGGGTCCCTGTTCAAGCAATTGTCCTACTTCAACCTCCCAAGTAGCTGGGATTACAGGCACCAGCCACAAAAATGCCCGGCTAATTTTTATATTTTTTAGCAGAGACAGGGTTTCACCATGTTAGACAGTCTGGTCTTGAGCTCCTGACCTCGTGACCCGCCTGCCTCGGCCTCCCAAAGTGCTGGAATTACAGGCGTGAGCCACCATGCCCGGCCTATCCTACTATTTTCTGTTTTGCTTATTTATTTCAGCTTTTGTCCATTGACATATAATTTTTTTTTTTTTTGAGATGGAGTTTTGCTCTTGTTGCCCAGACTTGAGTGCAATGGCGGAATTTCGGCTTACCGCCACCATGCCTAGCCAATTTTGTATTTTTAGGAGAGATGGGGTTTCTTCATGTTAGTCAAGCTGGTCTTAGACTCCCAACCTCAGGCGATCCTCAGCCTCGCAAAGTGCTAGGATTACAGGTGTGAGCCACCGTGCCCAGCGGCATATATAATTTTTCTGTGATTGTAATTGTGCTTTAAATAGAGTTCCTTTGGTGTAACCTTATATGTAACAAGTCTTTCTTTTTTTTTTTTTTTTTTTTTTTTTTTTTGCCGGGGGCGGGGGGATGGAGTTTCGCTCTTGTTACCCAGGCTGGAGTGCAATGGTGCCATCTTGGCTCACCGCAACCTCCGCCTCCTGGGTTCAGGCAATTCTCCTGCCTCAGCCTCCTGAGTAGCTGGGGTTACAGGCACGTGCCACCATGCCCAGCTAATTTTTTTTTTTTTTTTTTTGTGTTTTTTTTTGAGACGGAGTTTCACTCTCGTTACCCAGGCTGGAGTGCAATGGTGCGATCTCGGCTCACCGCAACCTCCACCTCCTGGGTTCAGGCAATTCTCTTGCCTCAGCCTCCTGAGTAGCTGGGACTACAGGCACGCGCCACCATGCCCAGCTAATTTTTTGTATTTTTAGTAGAGACGGGGTTTCACCGTGTTGACCAGGATGGTCTCGATCCCTTGACCTCGTGATCCACCCGCCTTGGCCTCCCAAAGTGCTGGGATTACAGGCTTGAGCCACCGCGCCTGGCCAACAATTCTTTCTTTATTTTTTTGAGACAGGGTCTCACTCTGTCACCCAAGTAGAGTGCAGTGGTGTGTTCTCAGCTCACTGCAACCTCCACGTTCCAGGCTCAAACAGCCCTCCCACCTCAGCCTCCCCAGTAGCTGGGACTACAAATGTGTACCACCACAATTTTTTTTTGAGACAGTGTCTCACTCTGTTGCCAGGCTGGAGTACAGTGGCACCGTCACAGCTCACTGCAACCTCTGCCTCCTGGGTTCAGGTGATGCTCCTGCCTCAGCCTCCTGAGTAGCTGGGACTACAGGTGTCCACCACCATGCCTGACTAATTTTTGTATCTTTAGTAGAGACAGGATTTTACCACGTTGGCCAGGATGGTCTCAAACTCCTGACCTCAGGTGATCTGCCTGCTTCAGTCTCCCAAAGTGCTGGGATTAATAGGTGTGAGCCACTGCTCCCAGCCCCACAAAGATATTTTTAAAAAAACATTTGTGGCCTGGCCCAGTAGCTCACGCCTGTAGTCCCAGCACTTTCAGAGGCCAGAGCGGCTGGATCATCTGAGGTCAGGAGTTGGAAACCAGCCTGACTAACATGGTGTATGTAGTAACAAAGTTGTGTGTTTTAACTTGGTAGTTTGCAGCTAATCAAATCAGAAATGAAGTAACAATATTTACGCAAAGCTAACCACAGTGGCTCTTGTCTGTAATCCCAACACTTTGGGAGGTTGAGGTGGAAGAATGGCTTGAACCCACGAGTTTGAGACCAACCTGAGCAACATAGCGAGACCCTATCTCTTAAAAGATTTACCAGGCATGGTGGTGTGCACCTGTAGTCCCAGCTACTTGGGAGGCTGAGATGCAAGAATCACTTCAGCCCATTTGGGCAAGGCTGCAGTGAGCTATGATCACACTACTGCACTTCAGCCTGGGTGACAGAATGAGACTATGTCTCAAGGTAGAAAAAAAAAGCAGTAATAAGTCCTTTTTAGATTTTTAGTTGCCCTTCCAGGTTTATGAATATAGCTCCATTAGAGAATGAAGCACTTTTCAGTGGCATATTGTTTTTTGTTTTCTAGCAGCAGCCTCCATCTACTACAACATTTGTGCTGAATCAAATAAATCAGCTTCCACCCTTGGCATCTACAATTGTAATGACTAAAACACCACCTGTAACAACCAACAGGCAAACCATCACTTTAACTAAGTTTATCCAGACTACTGCAAGCACACGCCCTTCAGTCTCAGCACCAGCAGTACGAAATGCCATGACCTCTGCACCTTCAAAAGACCAGGTTCAACTGAAGGATCTACTAAAACATAATAGTCTTAATGAACTCATGAAACTAAAGCCACCTGCTAATATTGCTCAGCCAGTAGCAACAGCAGCTAGTAAGTCCGTTTTCAGTAGTCTCAACTTTCTGCCTTTGGTAAGCTATGTCAGCCTGTTTTTTTAAACGATTTGCTTGGATTTTTAAAGAACTGGGCATAAAAGGGTGTTATCTGTGCTTGAACCTAGGAGGCGGAGGTTGCATTGAGCCAAGATGTAGCCACTGCACTCCAGCCTAGGCAACAGAGTGAAACTCTGTTTAAAAAAAAAAGGCGGGGGTGGGTGGGTGTTATCTGCATTATTTTGTATAGTTAAGCTCTTTAACACAATTCAAGGGAAGCAAAAATTTAGCTGCCTTGGGTAGATTGTATAGCTTTCAAATGAAATTTGTGGGATTATCAGGTAGCTACATTAACAACATGCGATCTTACCAGTTTTATATATTGTGGTTAGCCCAGTTAACATTTTTCTTAATCCTTTACAAATCAGTGCATCTTATACTTCATTTACCTATGAATTATCTATGGATCTTGTTTGAAGGCAGAATCTAATTCACAGTAGAGCCCAATATGTTGTATTTTTTTTTCTTTTTTTGAGACGGAGTTTCACTCTGTCAGACTGGAGTGCAATGGTATTATCTCTGCTCACTGCAGGTTCAAGCCTCTGTCTCCCAGGTTCAAGCAATTCTGCCTCAGTCTCCCAAGTAGCTGGGATTACAGGCACCCGCCATCATGCCCAGCAAATTTTTGTATTTTTAGTAGAGACAGGGTTTCACCATATTGGCTAGGCTGGTCTTGAACTCCTGTGCTTAGACAGTCTGCCCATCTAGGCCTCCCAAAGCTTTGGGATTCCAGGCGTGAGCCACCACGCCCAGCCTGCTTGAGTTTTTATGAAATAGAGGGATAGGAGCATTCTGAAAGAATGGGCTATGTGTTTGTAGGAAGATGGAGAACCTATCTCAAGTGATAGTTGTGATTAAAATTTTCATATAATTTTTATGTTTGGGTTCATGCCATTGTGTCTTTGTGGCTGTAGTTTTAATTTTTTTGTGGTTTTTTTCCTCTCAAGATCATTGTCCTGAACTGACTGCAACCTGGCAGTGAGATGCCAGTTGGGAAATCATTTTAGCTGTCTTAGGACTGATTCCTTTTTCTGCTGTGGAGTGCAGGACTGTGACCTTGACCTAGCTGAGGTACAGGGCAGCTTCTGGAATCACTCGCCGGGGATTTAGGGATGGTCGACAGTTTGTGGAAGTTGGTTCTGGTTAGGGTCTTTGGATTTAATGAGGAAGCCTGTTGCTTATATATGAGTGGCTTCCTGAGCATTGTACCCCTCACATCAGCATATGCCATCATAAATTAAAGGAGTGCATGTATGCCATTGTGAGGAAAGAGTTTAGAGAACAAAACAGGATAGATTTGGAGCTGAAGAAGATATCTAGGACAGTAAATTCTCCCACACTTAAGGTAGTAATTTTTAAAAGACAAATATAGACATTTAAGGCTGCAAATCAAGACTGTCCTTGTATGGAAGCCTGAGAAACTGTCAGACTAGATCAGGACTGAGAAAGATGGGTAAATGAATCCTGAGGATAAGCAAAGGTTTGTGTTGGAGATGGTCCTCTTTACTGACGGGGAAGAACATTGAAAATATGAAACTGCAGAAAGCAAGGTGTTACATGTTCTACCTCTTATCTGTGTGGTTGTTACCCCTTTGGATTTCTTTTTTTTTTTTTCCTCAAGTATCTGCCGCAGCCTCCCGAGTAGCTGGGACTACAGGCGCATGTCACCATGTCCAACTAATTTTTGTATTTTTAGTAGAGACAGGGTTTCACCATGTTGGCCAGGATGGTCTCAATCTCTTGACCTGATCCTCCCACCTCGACCTCTCAAAAGTGCTGGGATTACAGGCATGACCCACCATGCCTGGCCGCCCCTTTGGATTTCTAATCTGTCAGTTTTACTCCAGTCTTAAAACTATGAGCTGATTGCTGGCTCTTCCACAGTTACAATAAATGAATGATGCCCCTACATATCATCTCTGTTGCAGTTTCCTTATTTTGTTAGTACTTTATTTTTATTTTATTTATTTATTTTTTTTTTTTGTGAGACAGAGTCTCGTTCTGTTACCCAGGCTGGAGTGCAGTGATGTGGTCTCGGATCACTACAAGCTCTGCCTGCTGAGTTCAAGCAGGTCTCCTGCCTCAGCCTCCCATATAACTGGGATGACAGGCGCTTGCCACCATGCCCAGCTAATTTTTTTGTAATTTTAGTCAAGACAGGATTTCACCATGCTGGCTAGGCTAGTCTCAAACTCCTGACCTCATGATCTGCCCGCCTCAGCTTCCCAAAGTGCTGGGATTACAGGTGTGAGCCACCATACCTGGCCAGTTTTGTTTGTTTTTAATGAGTCAAGTGAAGTGTCTCAAAGTAATACTGGCTTTTGATGTTTTCATTAAACTATTAAATAGTTGTGGTTAGGGTATCTTTCTGATAAATAATTTTCAAGTTTCCCATGCACACATTGTTTGTGAGTTACTTGTTTTCAGAAGTTAATTCTTTTTTGAGACAGAATCTCTCTCCCTGTCGCCCAGGCTAGAGTACAGTCACACGATCTTGGCTCACTGCAACCTCTGCCTCCCAGGTTCAAGCAATTCTCTGCCTCAGCCTCCCGGGTAGCTGAGATTACAGGCACCTGCTAGCACGCCGGTTAATTTTTGTATTTTTATTAGAGTCGGGGTTTTGCCGTCTTGGCCAGGCTAGTCTTGAACTCCTGACCTCGTGCTCCGCCCGCCTCGGCCTCCTGCAGTGCTGGCATTACAGGCTTGAGCCATCACACCTGGCCAAGTTAATTCTTTACTTCCATAAAGACACAACGGTTTGAATGTTTTCATGCCTGTGCTTAATTTAAAAGAGTCCGGCTACAGTGGCTCACCCCTGTAATCCCAGCACTTTGGGAGGCTGAGGTAGGCAGATCAGCTGAGGTCGGGAGTTCAAGGCCAGCCTGACCAACATGAGAAACCCCATCTCTACTTTAAAAAATGAAAGAGAAAAAAAAATTAGCCGGGCATGGTGGTGCATGCCTATAATTCCAGCTACTCTGGAGGCTGAGCAGAATTGCTTGGGCAACAAGAGCAAAACTCTGTCTCAAAAAATTAAGTAAATAAATACAAAATAAATTAGTAATAGATTGACATTCTTTGCTTTTTGAAATGGGTAAAGTTCTGGATTTTTAAGTAATGAGAAAATAAGTTGAGAATTTTCTTCTAAAATGTAAATTGTCTTTTTTTCTCCTCAGCTGATGTAAGCAATGGTACAGTAAAGAAAGAGTCTTCTAATAAAGATGTAGCAAGAATGTGGATAAACGACATGAAAATGAGGAGTTTTTCCCCGACTATGGTGGGTTTCAAATAGCTGTGTCTTTATTTTTGTGTAGTTTGAGAATATGCTCAACTAAAAGTGTTCTATCTGGAACAACCCTCAGAAAGCTGTTTTTGGGTGGAGGAGAAGCCGCACAGGCATTTAAACTAATGGATGAGCTTAAACCTCAGTGGAATAATCTAATAGGTTCTAACCAGGTGGTTAAAACTTGCAGATTTGATGGAATGTGGTACTACGTGCAGTACTGATATCTTACTGTTAAAAACTCATTTGAGCAGAAAAGAAGGCAATGTGAGGTTAACAAAAGCTATTTGATGACTGTGTTCCTTTTAGGATTGAACTTGAATACGTAGCTCATACATAATCTGGTTATTCTTTTTCTTTTCTTCTTTTTTTTTTTTTTTTTTTTTTTTTGAGACAGAGTCTCTCTGTTGCCCAGGCTGGAGGGGTGGCACGATCTCGGCTCACTGCAACCTCCACCTCCCAGGTTCAAGTGATTCTCCCACCTCAGCCTCTCAAGTAGTTGGGATTACAGGCACGTGCCACCATGTCTGGCTAATTTTTGTATTTTTAGTAGAGACAGGGTTTCACCATGTTGGCCAGGCTGGTCTTGAACTCCTGACCTCAGGTAATCCACCTGCCTTGGCCTCCCAAAGTGCTGGACTTACAGGCGTGAGCTACCACACCCAGCCTGGTTATGAATAATTCTTAACATTTTGAAAATGCTGTATGCTTTGGGTCAGTTGATTCCATACATTTATTTAATAAATTCTCTCTATGTAACATTGTTAATATGAAGTAGGTTTCTACAAGACGTATACTCTGTGATTCTGCCTTCATTAAACAAAATTTGACAACCATCTGGATTAGGGAGTAATAATGAAAAGTATATCAGGCTGGATACAGTGGCTCATGCCTGTAATCCCAGCACTTAGGGAGGCTGAGGTGAGGGATCACAAGGTCAGGAGTTCAAGACCAGTCTTGACCAAATGCTGAAACCCTGTCTCTACTGAAAATACAAAAATTAGCTGAGCATGGTGGTATGAGCCTGTAATCCCAGCTACTGGGGAGAATGAGGCAGGAAATTTGCTTGAACTCAGGAAGCAAGAGATTGCAGGTAGCAGAGATCACACCACTGCACACCAGCCTAGACTACAGAGCGAGACTCCTTCTCAAAAAAAAAAAGAAAAGTTCGTCAAAAGTTGTAATGTGCTACTCACAGTAAAGATTATGAATTTGGGGCCGGGCGCGGTGGCTCAAGCCTGTAATCCCAGCACTTTGGGAGGCCGAGGCGGGTGGATCACGAGGTCAAGAGATCGAGACCATCCTGGTCAACATGGTGAAACCCCGTCTCTATTAAAAATACAAAAAATTAGCTGGGCATGGTGGTGCGTGCCTGTAATCCCAGCTACTCAGGAGGCTGAGGCAGGAGAATTGCCTGAACCCAGGAGGCGGAGGTTGCGGTGAGCCGAGATCGCGCCATTGCA